GCCCCAGATGGCCCGAATGCTGGTGTGACTCTGCCATCCTTCTGCCCACTGCACCCTTCCTGGTCAGAGATCTGGGGCCTGCTTTTTCGAGGGAGGCATTTTCACCCCAGGTAACTTTTTGGACTGGTTGGTTCTAATCAGAGTCTCTTGCCCTGTGCTCCAGGTTGCTGACTATATAATGGGATAGAGGGAGGTGTTTTCCTTACAAAGATGGGGTGCTCCTGTCTGGGTGGTATGCTCACACATAGTGTGGGTCTTCTTTCTCCTCATTGGCCCATGGCATGTGGCTCCGACAAGATGAAGCCCTTCCCCACCTGACTGTCAGCTGTGGCCATGCCTGTATTGCTGACAGGGCCCTCTAAGGGTATCAGCAGCCAGCCCAGCAGGTCCTGCCCTGGTAGCTCAGCATCCTGCTGTGGGGAAGTTATCCTCAGCCATGCTTTCTCCACCACACTCTCTTCCCCATTAAAACCGAAGACGAAATCAATGAAGCTTCGAATCATGGAATAAGCAAGGCCAGAGGTTGCTGGCCTGGGAAATTTGAAAGCAAAAACCTCAAGAGAGTGACCGAGAGGGAAAACAACTTTAAAAAATACAGTCATATAAAAGAAGATCAAATAAATATAAGCACTAGATGAAAGAGGTTGGCAAGAAGGAGACAAAGTGGAGTTGGGTCACTGTCATTCAACAGATGTGCCAGGCAGCTGCTGAGGGCATGGAGGAAATAAGCAATAAGTAAGTGTCTCAAAAAAGTCTAGGGGCATACCCCAGTATGTTGCATACACCTAGAATTCCATCTTGGGGGCTGAAGCCGAAAGATCTCAAATTCAAGTGTGATCTAAGCTGCAATGGTGAGCCCTTGCCTCAACACACACACACACACACACACACACACACACACACACACACACACACACACACACACAGCAACAATGGAAAGCTGGGTATGGAGGCTTGATCTCCTGGGCTCAGGTCCGATCAGTGAGCAGGTTCCTTGGAGCCTGTGGGCAGCACTCTTTCCTACAGGCCAACTGACCCCTACATGGCTTGACTCCGGTCTCTGCTTCGCCTCTTTCCTGCGCACACAAGGGCGCCGGGTGCCCATATCCAAACCTGTAGACTTCCTCGGGCTGGCAGGGGTCTCTCTGCCAGTTGTACCCATCCTGCAAGTCTGACTGGACTGCTACAGAAAACTCCAGCCAGCTGTGCTGTGCCGGGAGGAAGGAGGAAGACGCAGGACCACAGGTACTCTGGGTAGCTCCCTAGAAGAGAGCATGGTTGGGAAGCCACCTGAGCTGGTGCTGGTCAGTGGTGGCTTTACTTGGGCAGGTGGCTCCTCAGGCCTATGCTAGGGCCATAGGTCCTGGGGAGGGCCAGGAGTCCAGGTTTCCTTTACTTGGCTTATTTATTGGCTGGAATGAGAGAGTGATGACGGACAAAGGAGAGATTTATGTTTCTGGAGTGACCATCACAATGGCTGTGGCTTTCAAGTGGACACCTGTAGCCTTTCTCTTTGCCTGGACATTTTTACCACAGCTTTGGTGGCAAACTTCTGGCTCCCAGCAGTACTTTAGTAGACAGATTTGATGGCTACCCCCCCCCCCCCCCCGCCCACCCCTTCAGTTTCCTCCTACCTCCTGGGAAGGAAGGGAGGGTTGAGCACAGGTCTTCATGGATAAATAAAGGTAGTTAGAATCAGCATAACTGAAGGGCACTTTCCCAAAGACAATTCCTGGTGTTGGCTGAGCTACAACAAAGGACTGATCAACTCACTCTTGATTCCTGTGAGTACACCTCTGTGTAGAGAGGAATAACTCAAGAAGAACAACTCCTGGTGCTCCCAGAAACTCCTCCCATGTCTTGGGCAAATCATGCCTCTCTGTGAGTGTTAGTCTTTCCTTCTGAGTAATGGGCATGCAACCTGAGGCCTAGAACCTGATAGTTTGTCTTCCCTATCTAGGTTATTACACAGTGGTGAGCTTGTGTTGTTTTTTCTGGGGCTAACAAACCTGATTTTGCCAGGGATAGTGGCACCCGCCTTTCTTTAATCCCAGCACCTCGGGAGGCAGAGGTAGGCGGATCTCAGTGAGTGTGAGGCCAGCCTGGTCTACACAGGAAAGCCAGGACTACATAGGTTGGAGACTGTAAGGGGTGACCACATCATCACACTTACCATCTTTCCACCATGGAATCAGTCCCCAAAGAAACCAAATGTTTGCTTTGTCTCAGAGTAAAACATCAAAACAAATCAACCCCCTAAAACCAAAAACATCCCCAGACAACCCTGATTTTAGATGATCAGGACTTGACAGGGCTGAGCTCAGCCAGAAACAAAGGTTTGGCGAGCAAGCCCCCCTCACCCCCATGCACCCCCTGAGAGCTGCCATCCTAACTTCATGCAGCAGAGGGAAGATCACAATCATCCTTCCTAGAGATGGTTCTGCTTTGGTCTCTGGTGGGGGGAGTTGTGCAGAACTTGCCTAAGGGCCCGGGGAGGAGTGTGCAGGGCCTTCTAGTCTGCCTGGGAAAACTGGCCTGGCCGTGTGGAGTGTTTTGTGGATTAGCGGCAGGACTCCCGCTTCTGCCCATCACCTGGGGATGGTGCAGACTCGGTCCAGTTTAAGACAAGGGGTGCCCAGCTGAGGAGGGGAGGTTTCTCCAGACCAAAAGTTTTCAGGAACTCCGACTTGAGCTGTAACCTGCAGGTCTCCATCTATAGTGACTCCATCTTACAGATTAGAATTTGATGGTGTGTGTTGCGCTGTCTTCTCTGTATTTGGAAGGGGCTCTTGAGGCTTGCCTCACACCCCTACCTAGCAAAATATACAAGGATAACTAACATCGGAGTGGGTATACCCCATGCTCACCCTGCTTACACACTGCAGTGTGGGACAAGGACATGATTGGGGGTGTTCCTGACCTGGTGGCTCTTGACCTTTGGCTGGAGACTCTAAGGAGTGGCCACACCACACTTACCACTATGGAGTCAGTCCCCACACGAACCAAACGGCTAAATACTGAAGCTGATCAGACTTTATTTCCCACTTCCCTACAACTTTCCAGCCAGGAAATGCTGGAACTTCGCAGGACTAAAAATCAGAGACAAGAGGATTTTGCATCAGCTGGATGGGCATTTCCCCACTCCAGGGTCCCAAGGCTTGTTGTGAGTTGTGTGGAGTCACACTTGGCCCTGCAGCCCAGCCTCCCACCTGCAGCTGTGGTCATTTCTCTCTTCTTGCCCACCAGGCCCCCTCATCACAGAACGAACGGTGTTCCTTGATGTTCCTGCAGTCCCATATCCCCTCTGTTCAGCTGAGGTATTGCCCGCCAGCTTCCAGGCCCCTCCAGGTCTTTCTGAACAGCATCCTGGCCAACCGTTTTAAAGCAGAACTTGCCAGTGACACCTCGGTGGCTGGCAGCTCGACACTCACACAAATGCACGCTCCCCACACAATCCTTTCTTCTCTTCCTGTTTTGGCTCACTAGCAGCACTGAACGCCTGCAAGCTTCTCCTCTCTTGGTCGCCTTTCGAACTGTCATCGCCTCCCGGAAGCCACAGCTGCCTTTACTTTGCAGCTAGGTCAGGGCCCAGGCCCGAAGCTCCTCTACAGCCCTCTCCTCATCTTTTTATGGCCTGTGTGGGTGTCTATCTTTCCCACGGCGCTGGGAGCTCTAGACAAGGCTGCAGCTGAGTCTATCTTGGTCCCTCGAACCCAGCGCTTATCCTGGCGCCCAGTTCTGCCAGGCTCGGCTGGACTCAGTTTCCGAGGGAATCAGAATTCCGGAGGGCTCAACTGTCTCCCTGAAATCTTGGGTGTGTTAAATGGAGCCCAGTCCAACCAGGACCTGGGGATAGGGTTGTGAGCCCAGACTGCCTCCCCCTCCCTGGCTCGATCCCTCAGCAGCTTCACCCTTTATATGATGGTGGTGGTCCGCCCAGAGGCAGGGTACCCGGAGGCAGCGGGAGTCCGGCTTTGCTCCCGCGGCTGGGAGCGGGCTCTCCGCCCGGGCTCGCCCTAGAAAGCTTCGTGCAGGGTGGCTGTCTGAGCGCGCCGTCCTCTTGGAAGGCTCCTCACGTCCAGGCGCCGCGGTCACGGCTGCGCCGGTTTCCGGCCATGAATTGGGCTTCAGAGTCCGAGTCTCCTGCCCGACTCCCGGCGCAGTGCACCGCCCCGGGGGCGGGGGATGGATGTCCGCCGAAGTCTGCATGGACAGCTAGGGTTCGAGCCCGCCGCCCGCCCGCTAGCATCCTGGTGCCTGGCTCAGTGCCCCAGGCCTTGTGGTCTATCTGCAGGTTGCCCAAATCGCGGGTCCAGTTCCGAAAGCGGTTGTTCGTTCCGGCCACTGCAGACTCTCGGCTGAAGTCCCCCATCGCCAGCGAGCTCCGAGACCCCCACCTCCCCGAGGGCAATTAGTGACCGTGCCTCCTTCGTTTCTCCGGCGAACCCTGAGACCAAGCCCGCACGGCCAAGCCTCTGCTCGTCGCAGACAGGCCAGGTCTCCACCGCGGTGCCGGCCTCGGAGCATCCCCCGGCCGGGAGAGCGGAGCACCGGGCGCCCCCTCCAAACACCGAGCCGGCGAGCGGCGCGCGGCGAGGCTAAGGCTCCGCAGTCACGTGGTGGAGAGGAGGGCGGAGGGGAGGGAGGCGGGCGGGAGGGGAGGGGGAGCGCCGCCGAGGGGGAGGGGGAGGGGAGGGGGCG